TTTTCTTTAGTTTTCACGGTGTCTGAAGAAAATAAGAGAGAGAAATAAACTTCAGAAGACATCAGTAGGTGTGGCCACTGTTTGTTGGACCCTGTAGTTACAATACTGGTTAACTTGAACATATTTACTCTATTTTATTTACATTCAACATGTCAGTATTGAGCATAACTAACTCTCAGTAAAATCACAAAGAAGTTATCTTAACTGGTATATATTCATGTTTAACATGGGTTATATTTTGATCGGTGATTAACCGACTACACCACTACTTCTTTTGGGGTTTATTTTTGATTACAAATAAATTATTTTTTAGGAAAAGAGAAAAGCTCTGTTTTAGCACTCTTATAGTTTTTACTCACATGAGGCGAGATATTAAGACCTTTGACCACTTAGCTGGGATGTAGGCAATAGTTCAAGTGATTCACTAACAATGACATACGTGTTCCAGCAGGAGGCAGTAATACACTAAACTGCACCTGTTGTGTTGAAAAGAAGGTGAAAGAGACTCAGAGTCTTGTCAGAAGTATTGTGAGGGAGTTGAAAGAAGAGGGTTATATTTCCAAGTCTCAGGAAAAATATCTGTCTGCTCCAATTTTTCCTCATCCTCACCCGTTTTATCTTTCACCTAAGATTCATAAACCTCCAGAAACCTTGTCTGTTCCATTTAAGATCCCTGTTGTTAGTGATTGGGACTCTGAATCATTCAGGATTACAGCATATAGAGTCTTTTCTAAATTCCTTGTCTCATCCCTTTAATGCACCCTAGTTATGTGAAAGATACATATGACTTTATTGACAAATTGAAAGATGTGAATGATCCATGTGACGCCTTACTTTTTACGAGGGATGTGGAGTTCCTCTGTACCAACATAGACACAAGGTTGGGCTTATTGGCAGTGGATAAAATATTTAAATAAAATATGATTTTACACGTTCTGATGATAATATTTTAAAATTATTAAAATGAACTTTGACTAGAAATGATTTTCAATTTGAGGATTCCTTTTTTCTCCAAATCTCAGGTTGTGTGCTACGCGGATATTTTACGGTATTCGGACAATGTTTTTGGTATTTGGACAGATGGATTAAAATATTTCAAAATCTTTTTGCATAAATTGAGCAATCACCACCCCTTAATAAAGTTAAAATTTCAACTAGATCAATTTGTAGTTAATTTTTTAGACAAAGTTGTTTTCTTTAGAAAACAATAATAGTCAAAGTAAACAACTATGTAATAATTATTAATTATAGTAGTTACATTAATAGTAATGTAATTATTACACACACACACACAAAGAGATGATGTTCATTTGGTATAACTGAGCTGCTCACACACCTTTGATTTTAATAAACACACTGAATAACTGAAGATTGTGGAGTCA